GAGTAGTATCATTTTTTTTTTTTATTTAGGGAGGAAGATCTCTACATCTTGGCGAAACCACCTCGTGGATAGTCGTTTTTTAATGTTTGGACCAAAGTTCACCTGCGATTTCTGTATATTATCTAGAGACTTTCTCCCTTACTCTCTGTCGAGGTAAGACTGTCTAACTTAGGGTTTGTGTTTCTCTCCCTCGAGGTCGTATCCTAATCCCTGTTGTTTCTAGTTCTCTTCTTTGCCTACTACGCCAATCAGTCATGTTTCCTACCGCAATCACAACCCATTGCATTATAATTGCTAAGGTGAGCGTAGAAGACTCCTATCATTCCTCTCCCTCTCATAAATGTATACTTCTCGTTCATCTACGATTCTTCCATTCGAAGTAGGAATTGCATTTGGTCATTTTCTTCCTTGTGCTTCTCTTCTTTTCATGCCCACATCCCTCTTCTTTATTTGTATCGTATGTACTTTGTTGTTTCCTTTTCAGCCTTCCAATTCCTGCGATCATTGTTCACTTCTTTTCTTCTTACCTTCACTCTATTGAATGCTTATTTTTCCGTGTTCAATCCGTCTGTCAGAACACTATAGCTTATACATTTGTGTAGGCTGTAGTGGGGTAGCCCATAAGGGGTACAACCCAATTAGGGTTAGTACTTGTACCCAACTCTTTCATAGTTCATTCACTCTCGTTTCTCATCATGGTATCGAGCAGGTTCCCGAGTGGGAATGCTGCCTAGGGCCCACCACGATTTTTTTTCCCTGCCCGGAGCGCGCTTCACTCCTACCCGAGTCGCGTTTTGTGTGCCCTACCTACCCTCGAGCCACCCTTAGTGGCCCCTTTGGCCGCCCTTACGGCCCCTCGCGCCGCCCTCTAAGGCTCCTCGCGCTGCCCTTACGGCCCCTCCGCGGCCCCGTCTAGGCCCCTTGCGGCCCCGTCTAGACCCCTCCGCGGCCCCGTCTGGCCCCTTACGGCCCCTTACGGCCCCGCCTAGGCCCCTTACGGCCCCTCAGCGGCCCCGTCTAGGCCCCTTGCGGCCCCGTCTAGGCCCCTCCGTGGCCCCGTCTGGCCCCTTACGGCCCCTCCGCGGCCCCGTCTAGGCCCCTTGCGGCCCCGTCTAGGCCCCTCCGCGGCCCCGTCTGGCCCCTTACGGCCCCATTTAGGCCCTTCTGCGGCCCCGCTTAGGCCCCTCTGCGACCCCGTCTGGCCCCTTCACGGCCTCGTTCAGGCCCCTCCAGGGCCCCGTCTAGGCCTCTCCGCGGCCCCGTCTGGCCCCTTACGGCCCCGTTTAGGCCCCTCTGCGGCCCCATCTACGCCCCTTGCGACCCCGGCTAGGCCCCCTTTCGGCCCCGCTAGGCCCCTTTCGGCCCCGTCTCGGCCCCTCTGTGGCCCCGCCGCCACCTGCGGCCCCACCGCCACCTACGTCCCCTGCGTCGAGGGGTGACAGCGCGCCGCCCCTCACTCCTCCGAGTTTCCTCCGACAGAGGCTCCGCTGCAAACTCTCCGCATGGACGTGTGGGGCCCAGCCCGCGTCAGTGGGCAGGGACGCGAGCGGTACTTCCTGCTGGTGGTTGACGACAACTCGCGTTACACCACAGTCTTCCCCTTGCGCAGCAAGGTTGACGTCACTGAGATGTTGATCGACTGAATCCGCGCAGCTCGTCTCCAGCTTAGAGTGAGTTTCGGCTCAGACCTTCCTGTTCTGCGTCTGCACTCGGACAGAGGCGGAGAGTTTTCCTCTTCCCGTCTGGGAGCCTTCTGTCGTGCACAGGGCATCCGCCAGACCTTCACGCTTCCGGCCTCTCCATAGCAAAATGGGATTGCTGAGCGCCGCATTGGCATGGTCATGGACGTCGCTCGTACGTCCATGATGCATGCGGCTGCCCCCCATTTTCTGTGGCCGTTTGCGGTTCAGTACGCTGCGCATCAGCTCAACCTTCAGCCCCGGGTCTCCTTGCCAGAGACCTCCCCCGCCTTGCGGTGGACCGGGAAGGTTGGCGATGCGTCTGTGTTTCGGGTCTGGGGATCTCGGGCGTTTGTCCGCGGCTTGTCTGCGGACAAGCTGTCCCCCCGTGCGGTTCCCTGCGTCTTCCTTGGCTTCCCCCCTGATGTGCCTGGCTGGCAGTTTTACCACCCCACCTCCCGCCGTGTTCTGTCCTCCCAGGACGTCACCTTTGACGAGTCGGTACGTTACTACCGTCTCTTCCCCTATTGCACTGCGCCCCTCCCCCCGCCGTCGCTCTTCCTTGCACCAGGTCCTCCCCCGGTAGACCCCCTCCCTCCTTAGGGTCCTGCCCCGTCAAGTGTGTCCCAGGTAGACGCAGTCGAGCCTCTCGAGGTAGCTGTTGACTCTGGTGCTGCTAGAGGTGCTGAGCGTGCGGGTGCCGGGTCTGGGGGTGCTGAGACTGCGGGTGCTGAGACTGGGGGTGCTGAGTCTGGGGGTGCTAAGACGGGGGGTGCGGAGCCTGGGGGTGCGGAGCCTGGGGGTGCTGAGCTTGGGGGCGCTGGGTCTGCTCGTGTGGCCGCCGGCGGTGCTTCGTCGAGGCGGGAGCTGCTCTCTCCACAGGAGCTGTGCGAGTGGTTTGCCCGCCGCTAGAGACGTGCTGTTGAGACTAGGGGTGCTGCTTGGGCTACTGGAGTTGGTCCTGCTGGAACTACTCGCGGTACTGGTGCTACTAGAGCTGGAGCTGCTAGGGGTGTTGGAGCTGATGTTTCTACTGGCGCTGGTGCGTCTAAGAGTGCTGCTGAGGCTGCTGGAGCTGACAGTCCTACTGGAGTTGGTGCTGCTGGAGCTGGAGCTGCTGGGGGTGTTGGCGCTGGTGGTGCTGCTGGCGCTGGTGCTTCTGAGGGTGCCGGAGTTGGCGATTGTGGAGCTGAAGGTACTGGTGGCGCTGGTGCTGCCGCTGGGGGCACTCGTGCCGTCCTTGCTGGTTCTGGAGGCGCTGAGCGGACGAGGCCGTACTTAGTTACACTCCTGGAGCAGGTTCTTGGTCTCCCGCCCTCTCCTGGTCCTGCTCCTTCCTTAGAGTGTCCACAGCCTGTCCTGTTGCAGTCACAGTTACAGCCCGCCTCCCCTCTACCTGCTCCTTCTCCCTACACTGGTCCTACTAGAGGTCTTGCTGAGCGTCGTGAGCCTGCGTCTCGTCCTGCGTCGCCTGTTCATGCTGCTCGCACTAGTCATCGTGCTCCGCGTTCGCGTCCTCCTGCGGTCCCCGCCACACACCAGATGGCACCGCGTCCTTCCTCTGCTCCTCTGCGTGTCCTGTTGCCGTCTCCTCCAGAGTCCTCTCTTCCTTTTCTTGCTGACCCAGAGTCTGACTCCCTTCGTGCTGCTAGTCCTTCGGTCACGCGACTTCTTGCTACTGTTGTCACTGACCCTTCCTTTGAGTCCACTGCTGCGTCTGCCCTAGTTGCTAAGCTTGTCGACTTCGCTGCTCGCAGTCGTCTAGACTACGCTGCCAGTCTCGTTGCTAAGTCTGAGTCTGTCTGTCCTCCGTCCATTGGGGATGAGTGTGCTCTTAGCACAGACGTCCTTGAGGACACGCAGGAGGAGTTCCAATGCTTTGCTACTGCTTTGCCCCATCTCGTGTCCACGCTGATCCCGACTCCTCAATCGTACGCTGAGGCGATCAAGGATCCCTACTCCTCTCAGTGGCAGTCAGCCATGGACGCAGAGATGGCTTCCTGGAAGTCCACAGGCACCTACGTCGACGAGGTTCCCCCACCTGGGGCGAACATCGTCAATGGCATTTGGATTTTCAGGGTGAAGCGGCCGCCGGGTTCTCCGCCTGTCTTCAAGGCGCGTTACGTGGCTCGAGGCTTCAGTCAGCGGCAGGGAGTTGACTAATTTCAGACCTTCTCTCCCACCCCGAAGATGACCACTCTTCGGGTGCTGCTGCACATAGCCGCTCAGCACGACTACGAGCTTCACTCTCTTGACTTCAGCACAGCTTTCTTGCAGGGCAGCTTGCATGAGGAGATCTGGCTACGCCGCCCACCTGGCTTCACTGGGTCGTTTCCTCCTGGTACCCAGTGGAGCCTCTGGCGGCCAGTCTACAGTCTCCGCCAGGCGCCCCATGAGTGGCACGACACACTGAGGACTACACTTGCGGCTCTTGGGATTGCTCCTTCTACAGCCGACCCGTCGCTGTTTCTGCGCACCGACACCTCTCTGCCGCCATTCTACATCCCCGTGTACGTCGACGACTTGGTCTTTGCCACTGCTGACACTGCTGGACTCGCCCACGTGAAGTCCGAGCTGCAGAAGAGACACACGTGCACAGACCTGGGTGAATTGCGTAGCTACCTTGGCTTACAGATCACCCGGGACAGAGCACAGCGCACCATTACCCTGACTCAGTCACACATGGTGCAGCAGGTCCTTCAGCGCTTCGGCTTCACGTACTCCTCGCCTCAGGCCACTCCTCTGTCTACTCGCCACTTGCTCTCAGCTCTGCCTTCGGATGAGTCCGTAGAGTCGAGTGGCCCGTACCTAGAGCTTGTTGGCTGCCTCATGTACCTGATGACCTGCACACGACCTGACCTTGCATACCCTCTTAGCATCTTGGCACGCTATGTTGCTCCTGGGAGATATCGACCAGAGCACATGTCTGCAGCGAAGATGGTGTTGTGCTACTTGTGCAGTACGTCGGGCATGGGGCTAGTGCTTGGAGGGCGACGTCGAGTGGTCCTCACAGGTCACGCAGACGCTTCTTAGGCTGACGACCAGGCTACGCATCGGTCGTCACAGGGTTACACCTTCAGCCTTGGCTCCGGCTCTGTTTCATGGCGGTCTACCCGCTCGTCTTTTGTTCTTGGCTCCAGCTGTGAGGCTGAGATCTACGCGGGGGCCATGGCTGCACAGGAGCTACGCTGGCTCACCTACCTGCTGACTGACCTAGGAGAGGCGCCTCGTTCTCCTCCAGTTCTGTACGTAGACAACAAGGCCATGCTGGCCTTGTGTCGGGAGCACAGACTGGAGCACAGAATGAAGCACATTGCTATCATGGCTACCCCTAGTGTCCTCGCTTTTGACGCTGAGGGTCGGGCCATTGACTTTGACGTCTGGGTAGATAACCTGCAGCTTTTCTTACAGTGCGATAGGGCGGACGGTCTCTCCCTCTTTGACCTCACCTCTGGTGCCTCTCCTGCCCCTGCTGCTGATGCTGACGCCACTGTTTGCTCACAGTGGGCCACAGACGATGCTGCTGTGCGTCTTGCTGTGCGTCACCACCTACCTACCTCTGAGCGTGCGCACTTTAGCCAGTACAATAGTGCTCAGACCTTGTACGACGCTGTAGTTGCACGCTACTCTTCCCCTGCCACTGCTGCACTGAGCTGCCTCATGCTACCGTACCTCTTCCCTGACCTTGCTGCCTTTCCCACAGACGCTGACCTCATTACGCACCTCCGCACTAGTGACACTCGCCACCGCGCTGCGCTTGCTGCTGAGTTCTGCGCCAAGAACCCCCCCCCCCCCCATGTACATCACCCTCTACTACATAGTCACCCGGCTCCCTGACTCTCTTCGTGTAGTCAGGGACCACTTCCTTTCAGTTTGCCCCACCACTCTCACCGTTGACCTCCTCAAGAAGGCCCTCCTAGCAGCAGAGAAGAGCATAGTCGCTGTAGGAGCCTCTCGTGGTGACCCTCGCACCCCCATCTTTGAGGGGTGTTCCCCCTCCCCCCTTTTGCCCTCTGTCGCCTCTTCTGCTGCGGCCGACCTCGTTGGTCTTGAGTCGGTCGGTGCGGCATCTACCCCTAGCGGGAGACGCCGCTCTGGCAAGGGCAAGGGGGGCAGGGGCGCTGGAGGAGCTAGCGGGGGCGGTGGAGGCGGCGGTGGAGGCGGCGGAGGGAGCGGGGGTGGCGGTGGGAGTGGTGGCGGGGGTGGAGGTGTCGGTGGCGGCAGTGGAGGCGGAGGCGGCGGCGGCGGTGGCGGTGGGAGCGGAGGTGGCGGAGGTGGCGGCGGTGGAGGAGGCGGTGGCGGAGGAGGTGGAGCTGGTCGGGGTGGCGCTGCACAGAGGGTCGGCTCTGGTGGTGGTCCGCACCAGCAGTAGCAGCGGCGCACTCGTGACATCCCCCCCCCCCTCAGCAGCTCCGTGAGTAGTACGCTGCACGTCAGCGGGGTGGGGGTACTGGTCCGTGCACCTATGTCCTACGCACCGGCGACCGCGCAGGTGAGCAGTGTGGGGGTGCGCACCCCACCCAGCGCTGCTTTGGCCGCCTGACGGACGCTTGGCGTCACCAGTTCCCGGAGGCCACTGAGATCCCCCGCTGGGGTGAGCTGTCTAGGGCGGGGGTAGCTATCTTTGACCTTGACTTTGATGCTATTCTTGCTGCCATGTATGCTGTGACTATTAGTGATGAGGGTGACTGTTACCGGTGTATTCCGCCCGACCCAAGCATTGAAACTGCTGCTCTAGGTACTGGTGAGGCTGCTGCTTTAGGTGTTAGCGAGGCTGCTGCTCTAGGTGCCAGTGCTTCTGCTTCCGCAGGTGCTGGTGAGTCTGCGCTCTCACGTACCGCGTCGGCTTCGGCCTCGCTCACCTTCACCCTTGACTCAGGGGCTTCTCGCTCCTTCTTTCGAGACCGCACCACACTCACGCCGCTTGGTCGGCCAATTGCAGTCTCTCTTGCAGACCCCTCTGAAGGTCCTGTTCTTTCTCACTTCTCCACTGTCCTCCCGTGTCCGGCGGCCCCCTCTGGCACCTTGTCTGGTCTTTACCTCCCCTCGTTCTCTACGAACTTGGTGCGTGGTGTTGACCTACAGGATGCGGGGGTTCACCACTTCACTACTGCGAGTCAGCGCGTGACCCACTGCACGGACGCTCGGATAGGCCGACACTTGGCCACGTTTACACGTCGGCCGGGGTCGAGCCTGTACACACTGACCACTGAGTCTCCTCCTGTCACTGCGTCTGGTCAGGTAGCTGCGTCGGGTCATGTGTTTGCTGCAGCGTCCAGGTCTGGTTCTGAGTCTGCCCCCTGCTCGTGTCGCCTCCTGTCTCACGAGACCCTCCTGTGGCACCACCGCCTTGGTCACCCCTCCGTGCTTCGTCTCCGAGGCATGGCCTCCCGTGTCCTTGTCTCTCGTCTTCCCCGGTCCCTCCCTCCCCTTCCTCCGGGGCCTGGCCCTGCCTGCGTCCCCTGTGTCGAGGGGCGGCAGCGGGCTACCCCTCACTCCTCTCAGTCTCCTCCGACAGAGGCCCCGCTGCAGATGCTTCACATGGACGTGTGGGGCCCGGCCCGCGTCCGTGGACAGGGTCACGAGCGCTACTTCCTGCTAGTAGTTGACGACTACTCGCGTTACACCACAGTCTTCCCCTTGCGCAGCAAGGGTGATGTCACTGAGGTGTTGATCGACTAGATCTGCGCAGCTCGTCTCCAGCTCAGGGAGAGCTTCGGCTCGGACTTTCCTGTTCTGCGTCTGCACTCTGACAGAGGCGGAGAATTCTCCTCTGGCCTTCTGCGAGCCTACTGTCGTGCACGAGGCATCCGTCAGACCTTCACGCTTCCGGACTCACCACAGCAAAATGGGATTTCTGAGAGCCGCATTGGCATGGTCATGGACGTTGCCCGTACGTCCATGATGCATGCGGCTGCCCCCCATTTTCTGTGGCCGTCTGCAGTTCGGTACGCAGCGCATCAGATCAACCTTCACCCCAGGGTCTCCATGCCGGAGACCTCCCCAGCTTTGCTGTGGACGGGGAAGGTTGGCGATGCGTCGGCATTCCGTGTCTGGGGATCTCGGGCGTTTGTCCGCGACTTGTCTGCGGACAAGCTGTCCCCTCGTGCTGCTCCTTGCATCTTCCTTGGCTTCCACCGTGACGCGTCAGGGTGGCAGTTCTACAACCCCACCTCTCGCCGTGTTCTGTCCTCCCAGGACGTCACGTTTGACAAGTCGGTCCCCTACTACCGCCTCTTCCCCTACCGCACTCCGTCCCTCCCCCCGCCACCGCTCTTCCTTGTGCCAGGTCCCCCCCCGGTAGACCCCCTCCCCCCTCAGGGTCCTGCCCCTTCAGGTGTGTCCCAGGTAGACGCAGTCGAGCCTGTCGAGGTTACTGGAGACTCTGGTGCTGCTGAGCCTGGGGGTGCTGCCTCTGGGGGTGCTGAGCATGTGGGTGCTACACGTGGGGGTGCTGAACCTACGGGTGCTACTACTGGGGGTGCTGAGCCTGGGGGTGCTGAGACTGGGGGTGCTGAGCCTGGGGGTGCTACGCCTGGGGGTGCTGAGACCGTGGGTGCTGAGCGCGGGGGTGCTACGCCTGGGGGTGCTGAGCCTGGGGGTGCTGAGCCTGGGGGTGCTACGCCTCGAGGTGCTGAGCCTGGGGGTGCCACGCCTTGAGGTGCTGAGCCTGGGGGTGAGGAGCCTGCGGGGGCTGGGCCTGGAGGTTCTCCGGGTGCTTCGTCTCGGCGGGAGCCACTCTCTCCACAGGAGCTGTGCGAGTGGTTTGCCCGGCGCTGGAGGCGTGCTGCTGGAGCTGGAGTTTCTTCGACCGCTGAGGGTGCTGGTGCTGCGTGTCCTGGAGGTGCTCATTCTGGGAATACTGGAGCTGCTGGGCCTGCGGGTACGACTGGAGCTGGAGCTGCTGAGGGTGTTGGTGCTGAGGCTACTAGTGTCGGTCCTGGAGGCGGTCCTACTGGGGGTGCTACTGGTGCTGCTGGACGTCCTGGAGCTGGAGGTGCTGGTGGCGCTGGTGCTTCTGCTGGGGGTACTAGTGCTGTCCCTGCTGTGTCTGGAGTCGCCGCGCGGCCTCGGCCATACTGGTTCCGCTCCTTGAGCAGGTTCTTGGTCTCCCTCCTTCTACTAGTCTTCCTCCTCCCTTAGAGTGTCCGCAGTCTGTCCCGTCCTAGTTACAGTTACAGCCGGCCTCCCCACTGCCTGCTTCTTCTCCCTACACTGGTCCCACTGGAGGTCTTGCTGAGCGTCGTGAGCTTGCGTCTTGCCCTGCGTCGCCTGTCCTTGCTGCTCGCACTAGTGGTCGCGGTTCGCGTCAGCGTCCTCCTCCTGTCCCTGGCACGCACCGGATGTCTCTCCGTCTGTCCACTGCTCCTTTGCGTGCCCCTTTGCCTTCTCCTCCTGAGTCCTCTCTTCCTGCTCTTTCCGACCCGGATTGGGACTCTCATCGTGCTGCCAGTCCTACTACCACGCGTCTCCTTGCTAGTGTCGTCACTGACCCTTCCTTTGAGTCCACTGCTGCGTCTGCCCTAGTTGCTGAGCTCGTCGACTTTGCTGCTCGCTGTCGTCTAGACTACGCTGCTAGTCTTTTTGCTGAGTCTGCGTCTGTCTGTCCTCCGTCCGTCGGGGGTGACTGTGCCCTTGGCACGGACGTCCTTGAGGACAGGCAGGAGGAGTTCAAGTGTCTGGCTGCTGCTTCACCTCATCTCGTGTCCGTACTGCTTAACCTTGAGGGAGACCCGGATGCACTTGACATCCCGACTCCGTGCTCTTACGCGGAGGCGATAGAGGGTCCCTACTCCTCTAAGTGGCAGGCAGCTATGGACGCAGAGATGGCTTCCTGGAAGTCCACAAGCACCTACGTTGACGGGGTTCCCCCGCCTGGGGCGAACATCGTCAGTGGCATGTGGATTTTCAGGGTGAAGCGGCCGCCAGGCTCTCCACATGTCTTCAAGGCGCGGTACGTCGCTCGAGGCTTTAGTCAGCGGCAGGGAGTTGACTACTTTCCGACCTTCTCTCCCACCCCGAAGATGACCACTCTTCGGGTGCTACTGCACATAGTCTCTCAGCGCGACTACGAGCTTCACTCTCTTGACTTCAGCACTGATTTCTTGCAGGGTAGCTTGCACGAGGAGATCTGGCTGCGCCACCCACCTGGCTTCACTGGGAATTTTCCTTTTGGCACCCAGTGGAGCCTCCGGCGGCCAGTCTATGGTCTCCGCCAGGCACGGCGTGAGCGGCACGACACACTGAGGACTACGCTTGCGGCTCTTGGGTTTGCTCCCTCTATTGCCGACCCGTCGCTGTTTCTGCGCACCGACACTTCTTTGCCGCCGTTCTACTTCCTCGTGTACGTCGACGACTTGGTCTTTGCCACAGCTGACACTGCTGGACTCGCCCACGTGAAGTCCGAGCTGCAGAAGAGACACACGTACACAGACCTGGATGAACTACGCAGCTACCTTGGCTTGCAGATCACCCGGGACAGAGCACGCCGCACCATTACCCTGACTCAGTCACACATGGTGCAGCAGGTCCTTCAGCGCTTCGGCTTCACGTACTCCTCGCCTCAGGCCACTCCTCTGCCTACTCGCCACTCACTCTCAGCTCTGCCTTCGGATGAGTCCGTAGAGTCGAGTGGCCCGTATCCAGAGCTTGTTGGCTGCCTGATGTACCTGATGACCTGCACTCGTCCTGACCTTGCATACCCTCTTAGCATTCTCGCGCGCTATGTTGCTCCTGGGAGACACAGACCAGAGCACATGGCCGCAGCAAAGAGGGTGTTGCGCTACTTGTGCAGTACGTCGGGCATGGGGCTTGTGCTTGGAGGGCAGTGTCCAGTGGTCCTCACTGGGCACGCAGACGCTTCTTGGGCTGACGACCAGGCTATGCAGCGGTCGTCACAGGGCTACACCTTCAGCCTTGGTTCCGGCTCTGTTTCGTGGCGGGCTACCCGCTCGTCTTCTGTTCTTGGCTCCAGTTGTGAGGCAGAGATCTTCGCCGGGGCCATGGCTGCACAGGAGCTTCGCTGGCTCACCTACCTGCTGACTGACCTCGGAGAGCCGCCTCGTTCTCCTCAGAAGCACATTGCTCTTCGCTACTTCCTTGCTCGTGAGCTACAGCAGCGTGGTCAGCTGCGTCTTGCGTACGTGGCCTCTGAGGCCAACACTGCTGATATCTTCACCAAGGCGTTTGCGCCTTGTGATGATCAGCGCTTCTGTACTCAGCTGGGTCTTGTGCCTGTCTTGCCTCACTTGCTCACCTCTTGACCTTGCTTGTACTGCTACATATATATATATACATATACATATATATATATATACGCCTGCTCTTGCTTGTCTAGCCTTTTATATATATATATGTGTGTAATCCTGCATGTGAACTGGCCTTGTGGCCTTGACCTTGTGCTCGGACTGTGTGGTGACTTTGTGATCCACAATGAACGAGAATGGATTGACTAAGTGAAAGTTGGGTACAAATACAAACCCTAGAAATCTGTACCCCATATGTGCTACCCCACTATAGCCTACAATAGCTATGTCATATAAATCTGACAGTGACTTGCGATGTGACTGGCGATGTGACTAGCACAGTGGCGATGTGACTGGTAAGAAACTTCTTCCCGATAAAGCGAGGGGTGGGGGGGGGGGGGGGGGGAGGGGGTGGAGGCGGGTGTGGGGGGAGGGATTACGCATGTGGGTGGTGCTGGGATCAATCTGGGGGTGGGGCTATCAGGAGGAAATTTCCGAGAAACTTCGTCCCGATAACATCGTTTTCAGGGTCCACAGGCCGCGTGCTCGGTATTGACAAGGTCCGTGAAAACACTACACTGAGAGTGTGCACAAAATTTCAGGGTCTGCTATGCGAAGATAACTAGTGCAACAAGAGCTAGACTACGGGCTAGGCACGGGGCAAGAGCGATCGTAGCGTTCGTTTGTTTCTTAGTCGTTTCTAAGTGCTATCACTGCTTGCTAGTTCACGGGGAAAACTGGCAAGAGTTTCACTAGCAGAGTCGCGGCTTGCCAACGTTGCAAGTCCGCGGTGTGCCAACGCTGCAACAAGTCGGTTGCACATCGTTGCACCCGCCTGACAATGGTGCATCAGCTTCGCAGGTGCTTGCAGCTGGTTGGCGCCCAACTCCCCGTCACATGCCCAGCGCAGACACTCCACCCGTGACGGCACCCACCAGCCATGTCGACCTCGGGATACCACCCCGAGGCTGTCCTCGCAGACAACACCCCTCGACGACTTTCGCGCACGTCGCCCGTGTATCCTGGTTGACCGGGTATTTCGCGTCCTCCCGCGGTTTCGCGGCCCCCACGGTCCTCTTGCAGTTTCGCGGCTCCCACGGTCCTCCCGCGATTTCGCGGCTCCCACGGTCCTCCCGTGGTTTTGCGGCTCCCACGGTCCTCCCATGGTTTCGTGGCTCCCGCGGCCCTCCCGTGGTTTCGTGGCTCCCACGGTCTTCCTGTGGTTTCGCGGCTCCCGCGGTCCTCCCGTGGTTTCGCGGCTCCCACGGTCCTCCCGCGGTCGGCTCCGCCCAAGCGAGGACAGGGCCAAACACAACTCCCGTTGACACTCCCCTGTCGCGTTTACGCTTGCCCCCCTTCTCCCCCCCCCCCCCCCCCGGCCCACACGGCAGTATTGTTTGGAGAATAGCCCGTTGGCGTGCACACAACGCACAGCAC